CAGCCCCTGTCCCCTCCTCAGCCTCAGTCTCCTTGCTCAGCCTCTGTCTTGTTGCTCAGCCCCGGTCCCTTTCTTCAGCCCCTGTCCCCGTCCTCAGCCCCTGTCCTCTTTTGCCCAATCCTGTCCCCTTCCTCAGCCCCTGTCCCACCCTTTTCCTGCTCCTTTCCCCCCTCTCAGCTCCTGCCCCCTTCCTTAGCCCCATGCCCCCCACCACAGCCCCATAACATCCCCACGACAGCTCCTCTCTCCCAGTTGCAACCCATATAACCCACACCACAGCCCCTTTCCCAAATTGTAGCCATCAACCTACTTCAGCCCCTATCCCCCCTACATTTCCTAAACCCCCAATTACAGCTTATACACTTCACTACAGCCCCTGTCCCCCCACTACAGCCCTGTCCCCTTACTCAGCCCCTGTCTACTGGTTTTAAAAGTGTAAAGTTTGGGTGTATGTGTGTGTATGAGTATGTCTGTGTGTATGAGTATGTCTGTGTGTGTCAGCATGTCTCTGTGTGTGCGCGCAAGTATGTCTGTCTATGTGTGTGCCAGTATGTCTCTATGTGTGTGCCAGTTTGTCTGTGTGTGTCAGCCAGTATGTGTGTGTCTGTGTTAGTATGTCTGTCTGTCTGAGTCAGTATGCCTGTAACAGTGTGTCTTTCTGTGTGTCTGTATGTGTGCCAGTATGTCTCTGTGTGTGCAAGTATGTCTCTGTGTGCCAGTTTGTGTGTGTGTGTCAGCCAGTATGCCTGTGTGTGTGTGTGTGTGTCAGCCAGTATGCCTGTCTGTCTGAGTCAGTATGCCTGTAACAGTGTGTCTTTCTGTGTGTGCCTGTCAGTGAGTGTGTACATGTGCCTGCCAGTAAGTGTGTGTTTTTTAGTGTGTGCCAACTCAGCAAGTGTGTGTGTCATTGAGTGTCTGTTTAGGTGACTGCCCCTTCCCCCTTTCAATCACATGGGAAAGGTGTTTTTACTCTCTTCTTGGTGCAATGGGCCACTTGACTGGATTTGCCCCCCCAGGCCTAAGGCTGCCAGCCCTCCCCTGCACACACTGCATCCACTATACAAACACACACACAATGAATGTGGGGATTGTCATATACAAAATCAGTGTTTCTCTATGAGAAGGAGTGGAATGGCTGGAAATCTTTGGAAGCAGAGTTAGTATAGAGAGGAGGTTCTCCCAGTGCTGGATTACTGGTAAGTTTTATGGGAGTGTTTAACTTTTTATTTTTTTAAGGGGGGCTGTTTAAACAGTTCTATAAATGAGAAAAGCAATATTCTAATGTTAGAAGTATATTTAATTTCCCTCTTCTCTACCTGGACCTTTGCTCTTGCAATGTCATTTCCCTCACTCCCCTTACTCCTGGTAGCATTAATATGCTTAGCCCATTCTTAATTGTACAATATAGTGTTAGCAATGCCAAAGTGTTTTCCTAGCTCTATACTGTCCCTCTGCCTCTGCAGCACCCTCTACCCTTTGATTAAAAGGTTAGAAATCCTTTTTTTCGATCTCCTTCTTCTGCAACATCAATGCAGTTGGGGAACCTAATGTGCATGATTTCCTATGGGGATTTTGAAGACGGTGGACGTCCTCATGCAAAGTGTGAGTACATCCAACATTGTTTTCAAAAAGTTAAACTCTGTAAAAATGCAGGAAGCACCTCTAGTGGCTGTCTGGAAGACAATACACCTAACCTGCACTTTTCATATCAACAGAGGGTTCAATGTTTAGCTTTTTTTCCCAGTAACATTATTATAGAACTCTTTATTTTTTTAAAATTCATTATTTTGTTTTTCTACAACTATCCAAACAGATCGACAGTTCATTAAAGATAAAGAGACAGTGGAAAAGCTTCAGGAAAGCTTCCTTCATATTCTGGAGAAACTGTGCAAGCAACATCACCCTAACAACCCACAACACTTTGCACGCCTGTTGGGTCGCCTCACTGAATTAAGGACATTTAGCCACCATCATACTGACATGCTGATGTCATGGAGAGTAAACGATCACAAATTTACACCTCTCCTCTGCGAAATCTGGGATGTCCAATAAGGAGAAGGCTTTTCATTTTAGAATCGGTTTCATGGTACACCTGTTTTATAGATAGGCCTAATGGTTATTTTTAATACAGTATATAATACAACATATATTTTGTATGTAATCCTTCACACTCTATGCTTGTGTATTTTTTGTGACTTTATAAATATACTAATACAATTATCAGTAAATTCATCATTAGTTCACATGTGAGTATTTCTGAGTCTCTGAGTGACACAGTGGTGACCGAAATGTAAAACTGGTTAAAAAAATGAACTTTGAGTTAGGAGCTTAAAGTAAAGAAGAATTTATGGTTACACTATAAGGTTACAAACAGCGCCTGATCCCTCTTGTCTCCCTAAATATAGTAAAACATTATCTTAATTCCAGTCTTCTGTTGCTAGCTCTGCCTCTGATCTGCCTCCTTGACTGACATCATCAGAAGTGATAATCTTATCCAATCACAATGATTTCCCATAGGAAAATATTGGCTTTTCTGAGATTGTCAATTCTGATGATCTCAGCCAAGATGGTGCAGAACCAAATGCTGCCATAACCATCTCCTGCACTGAATAAGTGTCTCCATGCAGAGGGTGGAGACACTGAATGTCAGTACTGCACACCATGCAGCACTGCCTAGGAATTATCTCTACTAGCCATCTGAGTAGTGGCCACTGGAGGTGTCCCTAGGCTGTAATGTAAACACTACCTTTTCTCTGAAAAGTCAGTGTTTACTGCAAAAAGCCTGCTGGGACATGCTATACTAACAAGAACAACTACATAAAGCTGTAGTTGTTCTGGTGACAATAGAGTCCCGTTAAAGTTTTTATTTCCTCTTTTGTTAATTGAGATTTAATCACACACAGGAGACTGTTGCAGTGTCTAGCAAGCTATTAACAGAGCACGAGGTAAGAAATGCTAAATGAAATAGAATTTGCAATTAAGAAACTGTACATTAGATATCTCTTTACGGGAAGTGTTAAGGAAGGCTGTGCAATTCAAATGCAGTGAGGTGTGCCCACCTAGGGCTGCACTAACAAAGTGATTTAACTAATAGCAGATCATTGAGCAGTGAGACTGCAGGGGAATGAGCTATACACCAAAACCACTTCATTGAGCTAAAGTTGTTTTGGTAACTATAGTGTTCCTTTAGACATCCCAACCATAAAAATCTGACCAAACCCTAACCTAACATCTTTAACCCTGATTCTTTTTCTCAGCAGTTTAATAACACTTCATCACTATTATATCACCCTATAAAACACGTGTTGAAATGTAGAATATTGGTATTATGTAAAACCTATTCTACTTTTTTTATGATTTTGATAAATTTAAGATTATGGTCTACACTTTCTCCAGTATTGCCTCAATAAGTTTGTCCAACAATTGTTATGGTGCAGAGATTGTAATCCAAAGATCTCATTTGAAGTTCAGTAGTGTGCTGAACACATAGGGACACTATAATCACCAGAACAATTACAGCTTAATGTAGTTGTTCTGGTGAGTATAATAATTCCCTTCAGGCATTTACATGCAAACACTGCCATTTTAGAGAAAAGGCAGTGTTTACATTACCCCCTAGGGACACCTCCAGTGGCCAATCCTCAGATGGTGGCCACAGAGGTGCTTCCTGGGGTAGTGCTGCACAGTAGGCAGCATTGCCATTCAGCATCTCCACATTCTGCATGAAGACGCCAAATTTTCCTTTTAGAGATACATAGATTCAGTGAATCTCTATGAGGAGATGCTGATTGGCGAAAATGGCGTTTCGTCCTGCCACCATTCCGCCTCCTTGCCGATTTCAGCTAATCCAATGCTTTTCCCTATGGGAAAGCATTGGATTGGCTAATAATTGTAAATTCTGATGATGTCACCAAGTAGGCAGAACAGGGCAGTGCCAATGCCAGTGGACCCGCACGGTTCTGGAAATAAGGTGGGGCAAGTACATGTTAGTGTTCCTGGCCCTATAGTGTTCCTTTAAAGGGGGACTGTCACTATCCAGGATTTTTGCTATTATGTTTACTTATCCCTATATTTAACCCCTTAATGATGAGTGACGGACGAGGGGGAAACCCTTAACGACGATTGACAGACCTCGTCCGTCACCCGTTAAAATTAACCCCGGATCGCCGCGATCGCAGGGTTAATGGTGCTCCCGATAGTGCTCCCCCAGCACATGTGCTCGCTCTGACAGCATGTCTACAGCATGTCAGAGCGAGCACATGTGCTTAGTATACTTACCTTCCGCCTCCCTGCACTTCCTAGTTCTGTGTGAAGTGCAGGGAGACGGATCAGTGATGATCCTGCCCCCTGTTAAAAAAATAAATAAAGTTAATTTAAAATCCCATCCCCCTTTACCCATTTTAATAAAAAATTAACCCCTTCCCTGCCAATTGATCACTGACTACAGTGATCAATGGGCAGGGATTACATTTTACTATGATCTGATTTTTTTTTTTAACCCCTGAGGGTTAATTCTTTTTTTTTTTAACCCTCAGGGGTTACATTTATTTTATTAATGAATTTAAGTATTTTAAAAGTATAAATGTAGCTAGCTGGGGTGGGTGGGGAAGTTAGTGGGGAATTGGGGGATTTGGTGTTAGGCTAACTAGGGGTTAATGTTTTAAAAAAAGTTTTAAAATAAGCTTTAAAAAGTTCAAAATTAAGTTAAATAAAAGTTTGAATAATGTTTAAGTAAAAAATAAAAAAACACCCCCCTTTAGCCAGTCCAAATAAAAATTAACCCCTTCCTTGCCAGTCGATCACTGCCTACAGTGATCAAAATACAGATCACAGTATTATACTGTGATCCAATTTTTTTTAACCCAAGACGATTAACTTTTATTTATTTTTTAACCCTTAGGGGTTCAATTTATTTAATTAAGTGATTTAAATATTTTAAATTATATATTTTCCTAGCTGGGGTGGGTGGGAGTTATGGGAAAATGGGGAATTTACTGTTAGTGCTGCTTACTGCTAGTTAGGGGTTAACAGTAAAACATTTTAAATCTGTAAAAATAAAAGTTTTAAGAAAGTTTAGGAAAGTTTAAAAAAAGAATAAGCAAAACAAGAGTTTAAAAACTAGTTTTAAAAAGTAAAAAAAAGTTTAAAAAAGTATAAAAATACATCTAAAAATGCTCATTACCACTACACCTGAAACAAACTAGAGAAAAAATGATCCCATGCCAAGGTTCAAAATATGCCTTTTGAATTACCCCAGGGTGTATTCTTTAATAAATAGTATGTGTTTGTGGGGAAGTTTCAATAACCAACCATCTAAACTACTCCAAATTGGAACATGGACACAGCGTAAAACTTCAAAGTTAGAAAAAAACGGAATGGCTGCCTCTCAAATGTGCCCCCAACATCCACATATACCTGTACTCAGACCACATAGCTGAGCAACATATGAAGTATTATACAGTCGTAGCACACATAAGGTTTGCGAAATATACTGTGCAAACTCACTTTTGTGTATCAAAAAGGCAGAAAAAACGCTTATTACACTACACTTGGTACAAGCTAGCGGAAAAATGATCAAGGTTCAAAATATGCCTTTTGAAATACCCTGGGATGTCTTCTTTAAGAAATGGTATGGCTTTATGGGGTATTTGGATTATATAGCCTGGTAAACTACTCTAAAATGGGACATGGGCACAGCGTAAAAATTTAAAGTTTGAAAAAAACTGGAATGGCTGTGTCCCAAATGTGCCCCTCCGATGTCCACATATACCTGGCAAAGGTACATACTGGGGTATTGCGGTACTCAGCCGACATAGCTGAGCAACATATGAAGTATTATACAGTGGTAGCACATATAAGGTTTGCAAAATATACTGTGCAAACTCACTTTGTGTGTCAAAAAGGCAGAAAAAAACGCTTATTACCACTTCACCTGGTACAAGCTAGCGGAAAAATGATCCCACGCTAAGGTTCAAATTATACCTTTTGAAATACCCTGGGGTGTCTACTTTAAGAAATGGTAGGCCTTTGTGGGGTAGTTTGAATTTAAAACCTACAAAGATGCTTGGAAATTGCACATAGGCCCAGCGTCAAAATTCAAAAGTTCGGTAAAAACTGATATGGCTTGGTCTCCTATATGGCACTGTAGCTTCACGAAATAATGCCAAAGACATTCATTGGGGGTGTCTTTTTACTCAGAAGACTTAGCTGTGCATAATTTGGGGGGTTTGAACTTCGTGCACATATGAAATATACAAAATGCCCAGCAAAAATGCAATCAGTATGTAAAAAATGCACAAAATTATTTTTTACCGGGGCGTGGCCTGACCACTGATGGAGTGAGACGCACGGTGCCTGTGCTCCTAGGCCTCACCCTGTAAAGCCTAAGTTAATTTGCCTCCAGCCGTTATCTTTCTCAGCAAAATGGGGAAAACCAAGAGAACACTCAGCTCTGGGCTGCCTGGGGGGGCTCTGCCTCGGTCCCAATCCGGCCCGATGGACGATTTCATTTCGGGGCCTAGAGGCCTGCAGGACGACACAGCCTCGTCAGTTCCCGCCTCTCCGGGCTCCAGCATTGCCGGCTCATCCCGCGGCACAGTAGACCCGGCGGCCCTATCACAAATATCGTCGGATATAGCGGCAATCTCTTCCAGCATGCTAACTAGGAGAGACAAATCAGAGATGGTGGCAGAGCTGAGGGCAGTGATCAGGGAGGAGATCGCTGCAGTGAGAGCTGACCTGACAGCCCTGGAGCACCGCGTGGACGCCCTAGATGCGGAACGCATACAGAATGCACACCGGCAGCAGGCGGTGGACCCTGGCCACCACTCGGCAGGGGAACCTGCTTCTGGACCTCCACCGTCAGGTCGAGGACCTTGACAATAGGGGCCGGCGGAACAACATTCGGGTCCGGGGGCTGCCGGAAGCGGAGGGGGAGAGCCCGCAGGAGATACTCACCGGCCTGTTCACACACCTGCTGGGTGAGGCGGCTCCGGAGGACTTTGGCATCGTGAGGGCCCACAGGGCTCTTCGGGCACCCAGACGGGATGGCCTCCCCAGAGACCTGATCTGCGCCCTGGTGTCTTTCCCGCTCAAGGAGGAGCTGATGAAAGCGGCGCGCTCCCGACCCGACCTCAGCTACATGGATTCCCCGGTGTCCCTGTTCCAGGACCTATCGCAGACCACCCTGGACGCCAGGAGGGCCCTGAGGCCGCTTACCCGGCTGCTACAGGAGAGGAGGATCCCGTACAAGTGGGGCTTCCCCTTCAGTCTTCAGGCCCGAGTGGACAACATGTGGCATGTTCTAAAATGGCCGAATGATATCCCTCGTTTTCTCCGCAATGCTGGCCTTCCCCATGTCACCATCCCGAACTGGATCCTGGAGGGTCCGCCGGCGAGAGCGGTGGGCCCGTCAGAGATGGCACACAACCTGCACCCGGATCAGGAGCCCCACCGACGCAGAGGGGGGCCAAATGGCCCTGAAGAGTAGCAGTGGTCTGACCCGGTGGGCCGGGATCCCGCAGTCCAGTACCTGCTGGGACAGCGGGCGCCTTGGCCGCGGCCGCCGGACAGCTCTGGAGGGATATGTCTAGTGGAGGACTGTTAGCTGCAGGTGGGTGAGTTAGCATTTAGGTGGGGTGGGAAGGGCTCGGCGGGCTTGGTAGATCTAGGGCCGGGGCTACCTGGTGGGAGCCAGCATAAGTGGGGCGGGCAGGTATGGTCTGGGGCCCCCATGGGATGTCGCAGACCGGGGGAGCCCGGCGGACCGGGGAGATACTTGGGGACGCCGGGGCTGACTTGGGACACTATGCTGCGGTCCCCTTCTCTCCCCCCCTCCCCCCCCCGCTATTAATACCTTCTATCCTTTTTTTTTTCCCACCCCCGCCTCGTTTTCCACCGAGGGCCGAGGAGTGGGCATTTTCGTAGCCTGTTAGCAGGAATCATCACAGTGGCTGGGGTGCAGGGACTGGAGCGGGGGGGGGGGTTCCGGGAGGGAGAGGAGGCGGGTCCAGAGAGGTGGAGGGAGGGTGTGGGGACCAGCTGGAGTGAAGGGGGGGCCGGAGCTTCGTGGTGGGTTCAGCAGCCAAGCTGGGGTGGGCCCCTCCTGCCGGTAGCCACCCCTGGATGTTGCAGGAGGGAGATGAGGGGGGATTTCGGAAAGGCCACCGGCACCCTATGGCTGTGGGCTTACACATAGAGGGGGGATGGGCTGAGGCTTCGGGGGGGGGAGTGGTCTCATTTGATTTTCCTCACGATACCTATACACTAGTTGCTGGATACACGCATACCTGACACACAGGGTGGGAGCCGATGGAAGCAGGGGCGGTTCTGACTACTACACCTAGTGGGAACGCCAATACAGTCAGGGGCCCTTTTGATCTTCACTGAGACAGACCCTTTTTTGTAAATAGAGCCGGGGGTCCCTCGAACGGGTAACCTATCCCCGGCTAAGGGTCGACGTTGCTCCCAGAGGGTGGGGGGAGGTTTTCTCACGACCTTGTGTACTTGACTTGACTTTCCTACTGCTCCCAACGCTCCACAGTACCACTTGTGCCACTGCGGGGGCGCCCTTCCGTCGCGGTGATGGCTCCCGGCCGGGGCTTTGTCCCGGCACGGATGACCTATTGGTCCAATAATATACAGGGGCTCAATACGCCCGAAAAACGATCGCATCTATTGAGGCAGCTGTGGGCGGCGGAGGCATCCGTTGCGTTCCTGCAAGAGACGCACTTCAAGGGGGGAGATGCCCCCAAATTGGAGACTCGGCGGTTCCTGCAAGGATTTTCCGCTAATCACCCCACTGCCAAAAGAGCGGGTGTAGCCATCCTATTCGCCCAGACGACGCCTTTCCAACACGTAGCGTCCCAGGCGGATCCGGGGGGGAGGTACCTATTTATAAAGGGTACCATAGCGGATCATGCCTATACATTCGCAAGTGTATACTGCCCAAATAAGGGGCAGCATACCTTTCTCTCCCGGACGTTAGCCAAACTGGAAAAATTTAGGGAGGGCCTATTGGTCCTGGCGGGGGATCTCAAAATACCGCTGGACTTATTGCTTGATACCTCCAGGGGTGCAACCGCGCTCCCGGCACCATGCATCAGGCAGGTCCAACGCTCTCTGCACAAGATAGGGCTGGTGGATTGCTGGAGGGCTTGCAATCCAGACGAGCGGGACTACACCCATTACTCCGCAGCGCACGCACGGTACAGCCGCATCGACTATATCTTCCTGGCTCAAGAATTTTTAAACCTCCTACAGGGTTCACGCATAGGCATCCAGGACCACTCAGATCATGCACCAGTCCTGGTTCATACCAGCTCTCCGCTATTCAAACCCAGTGAGCGTCAGTGGAAGCTTAACGAAACCAAGTTGGATGATCAGGCACTTAAGCAGGCGGCGGCCCGCGCTCTGGTAGACTACTTTACCACCAATGAGGACCCGGATTTGTCTCCCCTAAGGCTCTGGGAGGCGCATAAATGCGTCATTCGGGGTTTCTTCATCGCGGAGAGTACCAGGCGCAAAAAGGATAGACAGGCCCGCATTACGAGCCTGACAGCACGTATCGCAGAGCTGGAGGGGAACCACAAACAGTCTTTGGACGAGGGCACATATCTTAAGCTTGTGGAGGTACGTAGAGAACTGAAAACTATCCTGTCGCAGGGGGTGCTGTATACCGCAAGGAGGGCCGCTAGATACTACTACGAACATTCTAATAAGTGTGGGAAGCTCCTGGCGAGGATGCTTCGGGAGAAGCGCAGGTTGCAACATGTCCATAAAATACGCACGGGCGGGAAGGACATTACGCGTCTCCCAAATGGTATCCTGGGTGCGTTCCAGGAGTACTATGCGGCGTTGTATGATCAGACACGGGGACGCTCGGCGTCGGAGGACAGCCGGCACAAGGTCAGGATAGCGGAATACCTACAGAACCACGTCGCACGTAGACTCTCCCAGGAGCAGATGACAGATCTGGAGGCTCCGTTGACGTTAGAGGAACTCTCGGGAGCTCTGAAGGCGACCAAGGCTCATCGGGCTCCAGGCCCGGATGGCTTACCAGCTTCCTACCTACGTGCGTTCCGGGACATCCTCCTGCCCCGCCTGGTGTCGGGGCTAAACTCTTTGCGGGACGAGGGTCGATTCCATGAGGACTCACTGAGGGCAACAGTCACGATCCTCCTTAAGGAGGGCAAGAACCCCATGGAGTGTGCTAGTTATAGGCCGATATCCTTGCTCAACGCGGACATTAAGTTGTTTGCTAAAGCCCTGGCGCTCCGGATGGCTAGGTCCCTGCCGGATCTCGTCCACTCAGATCAGGTAGGGTTTATTCCGGGTCGGGAGGCCCGGGATAATACCATTCGGGCCCTCAACTCTATCCACCTAGCTCGCACCTCTGGGAGGGAGATGGTGCTGCTTTCCACCGATGCCGAGAAGGCATTCGATAGAGTTGATTGGACATATATGCTGGAGACTCTGGAGCACATGGGCTTTGGACCTGGGTTGCGGACGTGGGTGGCGGCTCTGTACTCCAAGCCGACTGCACGAATCAGAGTTAATGGTGCACTCACGGGCTCGTTCAACATTAGTAACGGCACGCGACAGGGATGCCCCCTGTCCCCCCTCCTGTTTGCCCTCACCCTGGAACCTTTCCTGGAGGCGGTCAGACGGGATGGGGGTATAACGGGGTGCCGGTTGGGGGGGGGAGAGCATCGGGTGGCCGCTTATGCGGATGACATGCTCTTCCTCCTGGAGCAGCCGAGGATTTCACTGCCGAACCTACTGGAGGCCTTTCGCGCCTATAGCTCAGTCTCCAATCTGAAACTTAACCTAGAAAAATCGGAATTGATGCCTCTTTCTCGGAGCCATACCCTCCGGAGACATGTTCAGGCGCACTTCCCCTTCAAGATCTGCCCGACCAAATTGCGGTACTTAGGTGTTTGGTTACCATATGACCTAACTCAAATCTACTCTATGAATTTTGCCCCCCTACTGTCAACTCTGCAACAGGACATGAGGCGCTGGGCCCCGCAATACATATCTTGGTTTGGCCGTATCAGCGCCATCAAAATGAACGTCATGCCCCGCATACTGTACCTGTTTCAGACGCTCCCGATCTCGGTCCCGCGGAGCTTCTTCCAGACATTATCTTCCTCCTTTCGACAGTTTGTGTGGAACCAGAAACCTGTTCGGGTACGGCAGGAGATTCTGGAACGCCCCCGCAGTGAGGGCGGTATGGGCTTACCCTCAGCCCTAACGTACTACCGGGCATCGCATCTTTATCGTATAGTGGACTGGCATGCAGCCCCAAGTGGTAAACCATGGGTAGATATGGAGAAGTTACAGGCTAGAGGAGGCAAAATCCCGGCCCAACTGTGGCTGGGAGGGGCCACGTTCCAGGATCTGCAAACAGGTAACCCGTTGATAGATGCTACACTGAAAGTGTGGTGTAGCATTCGCTACTCTAAAAAACTTACGTCATCTCCAAACCCGCTTACACCCATGACACATAATCCAAGACTGGCGGGGGGACTTTCCCCGGGAGATCTGCAGTCCTTTGGAGCAGCAGACTGGACTTACCTACACCAGTGGTGTAACGGACCGGTTCTTAAACCGCTTGCGGAGCTTCTCCAGGATCGAGAACCGAGCACCTTAGACAGATATCGCTACTACCAGCTCAAGACATATGTAGCCTCCCTCGCTGGGACGGCTCACCTTCACCGCGCACTGTCTTACTTCGAGCAACTCTGTGTATCCAGACAACATATCCCCCACGGCATCTCACACCTATATTCTATGCTGCAGAACTGCGGGGACCACAGCACCTTAGGCTTCAAGTTACGCTGGGAGCGGGAAACAGGGATCGAGCTGACGGATACGGAGTGGCAAAAAATTTTCCTACTGACGCACAAGGGGACCATTAGCTCAAAATTCCAGGAATGCAATTATAAGATATTGACGCGATGGCACAGAACCCCGGATATTCTCCGTCATGTTCACGAGACTCTCTCGGGTGAGTGCTGGAGGTGCGGCGCTGCGGAGGGCACTGGGATTCATATATGGTGGGCATGTCCAGGCATAGAGCCTTTCTGGCGAGAGGTACACCAAGCAATTAAGGACATAACGGGGGTAGACATACCTTTCCAGCCACTGCCGATGCTGCTGAACCACACGAACACGCCAGTGACTATCTACAAGAAGGGCCTCGTTATCCATCTACTCACGGCGGCAAAATCGCTTATCCCCACGCTATGGAGAAAACCGATTGCCCCGTCCCTTCGCCAGTGGGTGGACCGAGTTGAAGCGATTTACAACATGGAACTGTTGACGGCGTCTCTGCAGGGACGTTCGGATAAATGTGCCCTTACATGGTTTCCTTGGATGGAGTACACTGCGGGGGGGGCCGCGGTTGGGGGGCCGGACCGGGGGGGGGGCGCCCCTGCGCCGGCGCAACTTCTTTCTCCCTTGACAGACTGACAACTACACAGAATC